TTGGCATGCTTTAGTAAAATATTTTTAAGAATCTCCGCCTATTGGTAGGCTATACGAAAATATTTTTAAAAATCTACGCCTATTGTTAGGCTTTCGAAAAAAAACTATTTTTTAACTATACGCCTTTGAAAAATATTAATACAAATTTACGATAATTGATAGACTCTAAAAAGATATTTCGATTTACGTTGTGGTATAGCTACGATATGACAATACCGACCGATATTCTATAGTTTCAAGAATTTACCCGCATTTTCCCACCGATGTGTTTTTGTAATATATATATATATATATATATAAATTAGTGCGAAGTATAAAACATATGTCACAAACGTCGCTGTAGTGCTAGAAGTGTCGAAGAAGTATCGCCGAAGTCTAGCATTTTCAAAGGAACGATCGGTAGTATGTCCGAGTCTTTCGTTCATCTAGTTTATTTTGCGGCAGTCGTTCATTTTTGCTCTGGTTTTCCCAATTCCATTTGATCTAATCGATGCCTATAGGCATGCTTCAGAATAATAGTTTGAAGAATCTCCGCATATTGGTAGGCTTTACGAAAATATTTTTAAAAATCTACGCCTGTTAGGCTTTCGAAAAAATCTATTTTTTTAATATACGTCTATGGAAAATATTAGTAAAAAAATTACGATAATTGATAGACTTTAAAAAGATATTCGAAACCGATGTGTTTGTAATCTATATATAAATTAGTGCGAAATATAAAACATACGTCACAAACGTCGCCGTAGTGCTAGAAGTGTATCGCCGAAGTCACTTCCTGGAAGAATCGCCGAAGCCACTCCTTGAAGTGTCGCCATAGTCACTTCTTGGAAGAATCGCCGAAGTCTCTCCTGGAAGTATCGCCGAAGCCTCTTCCTGGAAGTATCGCCGAAGTCACTTCTGGAAGTATCGCCGAAGTCACTCCTGGAAGTGTCGGCGTAGTAACTTCTTGGAAGTATCGCCAAAGTCACTCCTGGAAGTATCGCCGTAGTCACTCCTGGAAGTATCGCTGAAGTCACTCGTGGAAGTGTCGCCGTAGTCACTTCCTGGAAGTATTGCCGAAGTCACTTCTGGAAGTATCGACGTAGTCACTTCTTGGAAGTATCGCCGAAGTCTCTCCTGGAAGTATCGCCGTAGTCTCTTCTGGAAGTATTGCCGAAGCCTCTTCCTGAAAATATCGCCGAAGTCCCTTCCTGAAAATATCGCCGAAGTCTCTTCTTAGAAATATCGCCGAAGTCACTTCCTGGAAGTATCGGCGAAGTCACTCCTGGAAGTATCGCCGAAGTCACTTCTGGAAGTATCGCCGACGTCACTTCCTGGAAGTATTGCCGAAGTCTCTCGTGGAAGTATCGCCGTAGTCACTTCTTGGAAGTATCCCCGTAGTCACTTCTTGGAAGTATCGCCGAAGTCACTCGTAGAAGTGTCGCCGTAGTCACTTCCTGGAAGTATCTCCGAAGTCTCTTCTTGAAAATATCGCCGAAGTCACTTCCTGGAAGTATTGCCGAAGTCTCTTCCTGAAAATATAGCCGAAGTCACTTCTTGGAAATATCGCCGAAGTCACTTCTTGGAAATATCGCCGAAGTCACTCCTGGAAGTATCGCCGAAGTCACTTCTGGAAGTATCGCCGAAGTCACTTTTGGAAGTGTCGGCGTAGTAACTTATTGGAAGTATCGCCGTAGTCACTCCTGGAAGTATCGCCGTAGTCACTCCTGGAAGTATCGAAATTTAGTTGATTCATGCAGAAAAACATTTCTTTTCATTTTTACCTCCCGATTTTCTTCTAAAGAAAGTCTTCATGTAAGTTGTGGTTTATTTTTCTTTATAAAAAAAAAATCCTCAGTTCATCTGAGGCCTATTTTTTCTATATAGAAAAATAGTCCTTAGGTGAGTTGATGAACTTTTTTCTATATAAAAGAATTCTCATTTAACCTGAGGATTTTCTATAGAAAAGCTCCCTTTTTTTGATAGGTAAAATTCCTCTGTACAGCGAAGGAAACAGGGCATTCCAGATCAAATACAATTCTATTTTTATAAAAATTCATTTTGGAACATCTCTAAATGATTTCCCTCACAAAAAAATGCAATAATCCGTACATGAGAGATGGTTGGTGTATGTGGAAGTTTACATATTGGGGATACCATGGTTTTTTTTATTAAACTCCCACTTGTATTTTACAATTAAACACATATTTAAAAAAATAAATAAAAACTAAATATTAAAAAAATATAAAAGCCAAGATCTTTTATTTACGATGGGGTAGGTAGGTAGTTTACCGATCAATTTATTAGTGGTAGTAGTTGGGAACAAATTATTACAAAAATAAAAAAGTTACGCCAATGACCACATTTTCCCTAAAATTCACAAAAATACCAGGCGCTCAGAATCGAAGAGTAGGTGTATGCTGGGAATAATAAATAAAAAATATTGGCGCCTAAAAGTATGTTTGTACGGCATTGCCAGATCAGAAAAATTCAGCTAATCACCGAGTTTTGGTATGGCAATGCTGTGCACCAAAATTCAGAGCATACTTTCAGGCGCCGAAAAAATTTAATTTTTTTCTGGCAGACACCTACTGTGCAATTCTGGGCGCCTGGTATTTTTGGGAAATTTTGTATATGGAGATCTAAATTTTCTCGTTTTCGCAAAAATTGTTCGTTTCGACAAACAAAAGCGGGGTTCGACCGCTTTCTGTATGCCATGCAGGGTTTATCTAATTAGAAGTGTTATTGTGGCTTTCAATGAAATGGACTTTTTTTGAGATAAAAAAGGTTCTTCCCTTATACTTACTTACCCTTTCTTTAAAACCCCACCCAACAAAATAAAAACAATTTTGTCTTTAGTTTTCAAACGAAAAAAGTTGTTTATTTGTTTTATCTTGCACAATTGGTTTGTTCTAGTTTTTAAGACAATTTGACTAATTTTAAATTTTAGACTATTTTACAATATGATTATTTTACTAATTTATTTGTTTAAAATTCAAATAATAGATCAAAAAGTCAACTTAAAAATTTACTCCATAACAGGGTATTTCATTCTAAATGTTAGTCCTTACATATTATTTTATTTGCACCACCCTGTTCTGCAGGGAATTTGGTTGTGTTATTATTTAATGTCACGACAGTTGCTCGCCATCAAAGACACGAACCTTTTATATTTCATAGGTTTATCAAACTAGACTTTAGTGTTATAGTTTGAAAGTCATAGAACAATTAAACACTGGCAAGGGAATCATTTGGAAATGAAACAGTTAAATGAATGCTGACTGCAGACTGTAGTCCATCGTTATATCTTGTTCACTACCTTTATATACGTCTTTGAGTATTTCGTACTAAAGACAAAAGGTAGTAGCAAAATATAACGAGTAACTATGTCAAAGCGCCGCATTGTGACATCTTAGCTTTTAATAACACTCGTTCTTTGGTTCACGACCAAACAGCATACAGCCCTACACTACTGTAAAAAGGTAATATTAATTGTTTCACGAACAATTCAATAAAACAACCAAATCTACGTTTGGTCAAAAATTCTAAACAATTGTGGTTTTATTTCTATTTATTTTCATATTTTGCATCAACGCAAACATTGGTCCAATCGAGCCGGATTGTTTTTGACGAAAACAAACCCCTCTCCTTTTGTTTCTCCTTTCACGAAGGAAAATATCGACATCGTCGAGAACAACAACTACAAAGATCCACGATCACCACAATCCAATAATTGTATTTATTTTAAAACATAAATTTCAACAACACAGGTATGTACACTGCTTAATTTATTTTTCCAAAATAAAAAGTGACATACGGTGATATTTGTGTTGTGATAAAGAATTAAACAAAAACTGTCGGTCGGTTTAACAAGCGCCTAATTGTCCGTCCGTTGCCGTCGGTAAATTACATTGCAAACAGCAACAACATTGTGTCATCCCCACTCCTTTGTTTATAACAAAACAATCAAAACAAACACAGAGATATATTTTCTTATTTATTCTCTCAATTATTTCACTCAATTTCGTGTTCCACGTAATTTTTTATATATTTCATTTTTATTGTTGTTCTTTTCATGTATTCTTCTTCTTGTTTGACAAACAACAAAGAAACAGAAAAACAATAACAACATCACATGAGAGAGTGATTGTCATCTCTGCTGATTGTTGCCACCCGTCACTATCACATGTGACATATTGTTGGAAACATATGATCAGTTTCCTTAGGGGTGTTCACACGCCCGCATAAGTTTGATGAATATTTATAAAAATATTTTTGTGCCGCTTTCTAGTATTTTTGAGTTGAATCCTTCGGATATCAACTAAAAATATTTTCTAATAACGTTTTCAACATAGTGCACCCTACATTTGGCAATATTTAACAAATATATTAATTTCATATATATAATATTACCTATTACATATATCGAAAAATTTTCATATTTATTTCAAAATAATTTTTGTTGGCAATTGCTATCTTCGATACATTGCCATTGCTTACGTGTATTATACGATACACTGTAATAAATTTGGAATACATCTAATACACTGAGAGAAATTTTAGTGAAATTTTAATACGTTTTTTCTTAAAATTTCTAAATTTTTGCTGGTTTTAATCACGTTAAACCACATTTTACTGTATCCACGATACAATATAGATAAAAGTTCACGACTTTTTATAAATTCAGTGTATTTTCAACATTTGATTTACAGCATCACGTGCTATTTTCTAATTTCTTTTGAAAATTTCCATTTATTAGTAGATTTTCAATTACAGTTGTTGACATCACGTGTCAAATTCTTCATATTTATTGCATTTCGTGCAAACTATTCCGAATTTTAATTCTTTTTGTGCATTTTCGTGCAAGTTTACAAATTTGCAATTGTTTTTCAAACAATTCAGAACACATTATTTGGTGTAATTGCCACAATTTCGACATTTATTATTACAAAAATATTGTTTTCCACGAAAACTTTCATTTTCCATAACTTTATAAACCTATACAAATTCTATATTTCACAATGCCACTCACTCCTCTAGATTTATTCATCCGAGCTACTGATGCTTTGGTTAAATTTGACGCCAAATTCAGTTCCCCACGGGACGAAGAGCTCGATGTCTATATTTTAGAACTACAGGGAGCTGAGGTGAAGAGATTATGGGAAAAGGTGCAAACCACGTATGAAAAATGCCAAAATTATTTGACAGAACAAGATTGTTCTAGTGACCATTTCACTGCCGCAGAAACCAAATGCGATGTCGCTTATAATTGCTTCCTTAGGGTTCTATCTACAATCAATAGAAAGTTAGATGAACTTCGGGCTCCGCCTTCTCCTCACTCAGTTTCCAATGCTACGCATCAGTCAACAGTTGGTGAGGAAAATTCTAGTCATAGGCTCAACTTACCGCCCTGTGACATTGAAGTTTTTGATGGCGACTTCCTTAATTGGCCTACATTTAGGGACTTATTTTCTGCGGTATACATTAACAATTCAGGCATTAGTGACATTGAACGCCTATGTCACTTAAACAAAAAGACCAGTGGCGACGCCCATGAAATTGTGGCTAAGTTTTCGCTTACCCACACCAATTTTGGTCTTGCGTGGAAAGCTCTAAAGCGTACGTACGACAATCCACGTATCTTGGTGAACCACCAACTTAAGCTTCTATTCGATTTGCCTGTTCTAGATAATGAGACTAGTTCAGGCCTAAAACAATTGCAAAGGGGTATTAATGGGTGCATATCATCCATGTCAAATTATGACGTCTCCACCGAAGACTGGGACCCTATTCTAGTGTTCATATGTCTTCAGAGGCTACCACAAAATTGCGTCACTCTTTGGGAACAAAGTATCAAAGATAAGTCTGCTTTGTCTTCCTGGAAAGATTTGGATAACTTTCTTACGGAACGTATCCAAACTCTTACCTGCTTACGTGACATTCGTGGCATTGATAACGTCAATCAAACAAATAACAAAAGGTCTCGTTCACATTTCACGAATGCTGGCACGAACCGAACCCCTACATTTTCTCGAAATTCACCACCATCTTCTAGGCAATCTAGTACGTCTCCCAATAAGTCTTGCATTATTTGTCCACGACAAATGCATCACCTAAGATCATGTCAACGCTTTTTGCAACTTTCAGTTCCTGAAAGATTTAATACTATTAAGAGACATAATTTTTGTTTAAACTGTCTGTCCGCTAAACATCTAGTCAACCATTGTAGTAGCCTACACAATTGTAGGGTATGTCATAAAAGGCACCACACTCTTTTGCACAGGGAACCTTCCACTGCTGGTTCGTCTTCGACGGCCACAACACCACAAGTTCCGAACCTAGTTTCTCCCCATCAGCCCTCTACATCGAGAGGGATTACACCACTCTCTTCAAATAGACAGGTATTTCATACCACCCAAAATAGAAAAATTTTGTTAGGAACGGCAAACGTTCATATAGTTCATAAAGGTACTACGTACCTAGCCAGAGCTCTTATTGACCCTGCTTCTGAAGCATCATTCATTTCTGAAGAAATGCGAAATCGAACGGGCATACCCACAACTTCGAACATTTCCACTATTTCTGGGGTCAGTGGATCTGTTTCAACCACTTCAAATAAGGAATGTGAAGTCCGTATTAGTTCTCCCATTGATGCTACGCAATCAATGGAATCTAAAGTCATTGTCCTTCCAACCATCGCAGAAAATCTGCCCTCCTTCACCGCACAAACAGATATTCGATCAAATTTGCCAAATCTACGTTTGGCCGACCCCGATCCCTTCTCTTCCCGTCCTGTCGATATATTACTTGGTGCAGATCTTTATCCGAAGATCATGCTACAGGGTACACGTTCCAACGTACTAGGCTCGCTAATAGCCCAGAGTACAGTTTTCGGTTGGATCATTACTGGTCCAATACCCACTTCCTATTTACGTCCATCTATTTAGGGATATACACCTGGGGGACTTTGAGCAAATTATGCTTCATTTTATCCATACGGATGATATTGTGTGCAAAGGTGTCGATAGTAACTATAATAATTGTGCTAGGTCAGTTTTCTCACGGAAAACTTAAAGATTACATCGCCTACACTTTTCCCTATATACATGCTACGCAAATGTAGATTCTACGATCTACATTCCGGGACTTCGTCCCAGTTGGCTAGTGTTACTTTTTTAATACAAATTTAAACGCTTTACGAGCAAGATTCTATCATACAGTCCACCACTCTCCCAGAGTCATACATTTAAAATTATACTTCCGGTCACTTTCAGGTTGTTCTAATCATTTGTCACGCAAATGTCTCAAAATTGTTCTACGGGTTTACGACCTCTTACATTTATTCTAAATCCCATAATCCTTTTGCAGGCATATTTGTGAAATCAAATATCATACACTGATGTTACGCATCTTTCGTAATTACAAATACTTCCACATCGTGGAAATAACGTCGAATAGTAGAGGTGCACTCGGGATTTTCATACGGAAAACGGTACTATATAAAAGTTGTTGCGCAAATAATTATCATAGTCCATATCTCGAGTCGTCTTTTGCCACCTCTTTACTTTTTCGCGTAATGAAAAATGACCATTGATGGTCGCGATAGAGTCGCGTATTATGGGACTATGATAATTACAAAACGACCTACGGTTTTTACTGGTCATTCTGGCCATACATTTATTAGTTATAATCCTCATCGTTTCGGTATCACATCTCTCTATTTTCACAGAAGATGGAAAATTTAGGTACGATGGCTGCGGTACCCCCGATATTGAAGACGACGTCCTCATGTCCGATGAGGAAAGGGACTACAACCTCACAGGTGTCCCCATCGCCAACGAGTCTACGCCCTTCGGGTCCCACGAAGCTGCTTCTCCATCGGAGAAAAATAATTTAAAGTCCGTCTTCGACGGTCCCTGAAGTTCCTTCAGGAGAAACGGTGGTGTCGCCACCTCTTTCGACACACTGTCGAAAGAACGTCGTCGACGGTCCCTGAAGTTCCTTCAGGAAACCCGGTGGTGTCGCCACCTATTTCGGCACACTGCCGAAAGAACCAGGGTTCGAAAAGAGCGTGCATAATGTTGTCCCAACAAAATCAGCCTCTAAACGTCCGTCCGTTCATTTAGCCCTACAAAGTTACGCAAATACTCTTAGCGAGAGTCATTGGTTTGGGACTTATAATTGCTCCTTCGGAGTCTGTGTCCGTGCGGCATAAAGAATATCACGCTGGCTTGCAACTTGCCGATTCTCGGTTCAACGAAGCTGCGACGGTCAGCATGATGTTAAGCCCAGAGGTTTAAAACAATGCATGAAGCCACACAACTTATTCTAGCCCTGTTTTTCCATGTAGTATTGAATCATCACGCGATGGGCAATCTTCAATTGCCTAGCCGCAAGACCGAGTCTTTTGACTATAAAAAAGCTAACGGATCAGATCTTGACGAGACATTGCACGATCCTGCTCGTCGAGCAAAACTTTAGCCATAAAATGTTTTTTGAAAAAAGTATAAAACAAAAAAAAAAAAAAAAAAAAAAAAAAAAAAATAACAAACGAAACATTATCTACATATATTCATTTTGCAACATAGCAAGATGTTGCAACGCGGGCGGCAATGTTTAATTTGAAATATAATTTAATTTGAATTAAAGTAAATTCTAATCCATCGTTATATCTTGTTCACTACCTTTATATACGTCTTTGAGTATTTCGTACTAAAGACAAAAGGTAGTAGCAAAATATAACGAGTTGCTATGTCAAATCGCCGCTTTGTGACATCTTAGCTTTTAACAACACTCGTTCTTTGGTTCACGACCTATCAGCATACAGCCCTACACTACTGTAAAAAGGTAATATTAATTGTTTCACGAATAATTCAATAAAACAACCAAATCTACGTTTGGTCAAAAATTCTAAAAAATTGTGTTTTTATTTCTATTTATTTTCATATTTTGCATCAACGCAAATCGGTTAAGAACCGCGGATGTGCCTCCACAATCGATTTTGGATAAAATACGCATATTAATTCGCATACTATTCGCGTATCGATGCATTTTTGACGCATTTTCACACAGATTCGCGAATATGATAACACAAGACTGAATGTATGTGAAATCAATTCGAAGAAAAACGCGATTATATACGCGAATTAGTCAAAATAACTTTTTGTTGTTTTTCCTACATTCAAGGGCTGAAGGGCTGGGCTCATTAGATCCGGCACGTAAAAAAACTAAATTAACGCGGGGTTTAACGTCATTAGTAAATAAAGTTTTTAAATAATTTTTGTTATGTACATTGTCAAGTTATAAATTGGTTGCCCCAAAAAGTCCCCCAACTTTAATTTAATTCCATGTCGAAATTTCTTCTACGTGTTGATAATTAGACGGAATTCTGAATTATAGGCTTTTGCTCCTTTTCATAATATATCATGTATAAATTAAATATTTTTTTCAAAAAAAAAAAAAAAAAAAATCCTTCAATAAATCCTCAACATGTCTATCACCTATCAAATTTCTTTTGTAAAATGTTGCTTCAATTTCTTTTGAACAATAACCAGAAAATTGCTGAAAAAGTTTTTCTGTTGTTCGGCATCTGCTTTAACATTTATAGGCTGAAATCTAAGATTTTATGTTATCAACAACAAGAACAACAACAACACACCAGGCAATAACAAATTGTGTTGGTCTGGCAAAATAAAGATCCATTGTTTTGCCAATGAATTTTTATTGTTCTACCAAATAAAAAACAAAATCAGGCAATATAACAAAGTTTGAGATTCACTTTATGATTTGTGTGTGTGTTGAGAGGGTGTGAGTACGAGTGTTTTATTGTAGATTCACTTTATGATTTGTGTGTGTGTGCTTTTTTCCTTGCCCTTGGCCTGGGTGTGAGTATGTGTTTAGGCTGTGTTTTCCAGTGTTCACAAAAAAACAGAAGGCTGTGCTAAGCTATTTTTATTTTTGGTCCGCCCTTTGTATCGTCAATACGATTTTCTTGTCTTATTGTTTTTGTTTTGCTTAGCTTTGTTTTTGTTTCACTCAATTTAACATCAAACGTAGAGTAGTAGGAGGTGTGTAGCTGTAATGTTCCTTTATTGTATGTTTTTATTGTACAATTGTCATAAATTTTTAAAAATTCTGAGGAAAAGTTTTTTTTATTGTTGTTGCATAGGCAGCGTATTTGAAATAAGTACAATTAGGAGCATTTTGTGTTCTGGAAATTGATTGAAATGTCATAAAATAAGTTTATTTCTTTTAATTGTTTGCAACATTATAAATAAATGCAGCTTATAAGTTTTAAAATTTGTAATAAAATATAATTGGAAAATAATGAAAAATAATTAATTAAATCACTTTGAAATATATAATAAGTATTAGAAGTTTTTATACTCTACACAACTATGTTGTGTGGCCCAAGAGTTTGTAACGTTGCGAAATATTGGGCACTTTTTGTTTACCGATCGTCATATCTCGACAAGCTACAGTTATGTACAAAGTGTCACGAAATACTGCATGTAGGTTCGGTTTGGGCCAATGAAGACCGGTATTGTTTTTGGTAATGATCGCCTAATATTTAGGGGATAAAAAATACCAATTATTTTTGTCTGTTTTTCTGACAGCTCTTGAGGCCACAATTATGAACACAACATTATGAAATTGTATATGGGGACAGGACTTTGGGCAAGGAAAAGGCATCACCGTTTAATGATAATAGATCAATATGTCACGGGTCGAATGGACCCAAACTTTTATTTGAATGATGGTCGACACCGTCCAACTATACTGCTACGTTCATTTTTTCATATTATTTACTATGTTAGGAACATACCTTTCAATATCTATAATAAACCAGTAAGGAAAGTAGTAAAGTCGGACGGGGCCGACTTTATGATACCCTTCACCACTTTGAGTATATTCAACAGATGAATCCTAACAGACGTCGCATTTTTAACGGATCAGT